GATACTTGATATCATTTTACCTGAGAAAGAAATTAAACTTATTTGAAAAGCCTGTTCTATTAATCCTCACAATCACTTCAAGGGAGGGATTTTAATAATGAGGAGGGTCTGTGTGGCTGGACCAGGGTAAGACTTAAGGGGACTTCTCAGCTTTTTAGTATCCGTTTGTAACTTGAGGCCAAAGGCCTTTCCACTAGACTTCTGGAAGCAAGGTGAGATGTGTATTTTCTAAGGGAACTAAGAAGATTTATCCTCTTCCTTCTGAGCAGCATGATTTGATCAGCACTCCCATGGGACGTGCCCGTGCTTGCCCTTGCAGTTTATCCAAGGGTATCTTTACTAAAAAGGCAAATGGATGGAATCCCAGCTCCACTGACGCTAATAGCAAAAACTCTCAAATATTTTGATGAAACTTATCTGGTATTAATTTCCTGACTCGCAGTACAATTTTAGTCATTATTTGGGGGAAAATATCAAAATCTACACAATAATCTTTGTGACCAGATGGCAGAACTATTACAATATAGGAAATACATCTGGTATGGGATGTCCATGCATGCAGTCTATAACTCAGGGACATTACAGAATAATTTGTATACTGTAGAGATAGATATTTGAATTACTATAGAAGCAATCCGACTATAGTAGTACAGGTGTCTACACCAAGAAGAGAGTTTAAAAAGAGCTCAGATCTCTTTGTGCTTTGTGTAACATTCAGTGAAGCCATTTCCTCACTGACAAGACAGTTACAGTCAACCCCTTTTATCAGGAAGATATCTAAACTAAATTATAATGTAAACATAATTTGATGTTATAACAAAGGCTTCTAATTGGATGTTATAAGAAAGACTTCTTATACTGGTTTACTATAAATCCTCTCCACCTCTTTTTAATACATGTTCTGTGCTGGCAGCAGATAACCAGGTTTTTTGAATAGTAATAGGATTTATCAAAAATATCTCTCTGCACATCATGCATTATTTCTATTTTAAATCAGAGACTCTCAGAAAGAAATGAAAGATGAGGATCTATTCCATACTTTGACAAAAAAGACATGCTAAAAGTATTGATAAAATACTAGGAGAAAAAACAAATCAAGAAATAACTCTAAAATCTATCACATAGGGTGGTTCACTGTTTCAATATAATATAAAAGAACAAGTTGTTACAGAGCCCAATTATTGCCTGGAGTGCAGTATCAATATTGCTCATGTCTGAATAACTTTCTGAATTTTCCAGTAAGTTCGTAAAGCTAGAGCAGGCTGCCTATGAACTGATAAAAAACTTCACTTTCTGAGGCAAAACATGATGTCTGCATCAAAACCAGCTACATTACGAGGTTCTGACAGATTCCTGTTGTCCCAAGCGTCATTTCTGCTGAGGTACATTTGTTCCTATCACCAAAATGCTGCAGGCAGAATCCTCAGCTTGCACAGATGCTTTGCACAGTGTTGTCAGTGAGCAGCCTGGGCTTCATCACCAGAATTAACGTCCTAATTTCAGGGGAATTATGCCATAAGCAGCCACTTCCCCACAACGTGGATCTGAAATTTAGTCCAGAAGAAACTGCTGATGGTGTAGGTGAATCCACGCAACAAACGCGTGTGTGCGTCTGCTAGGAGAACTCCAGAGAAGTTAGCATCGGAGGGACCCCTTCTTGGTGTCCTGATTTCATACTAATATTCTGATCTTTGATATCACTAACCACTGAAATTAGGAAGGACTGCCCCTCCGAGCTGTTGCTGACAGTTGCACGGCAACGCAGTAACAGAGCAGCCAGCGCTGGCAAGAATTACATACTCTATCGACTCTGTAGATAGCATTTGAACCTCAGTACAAACACTTAGCTTTAAATAGGACAAGGTACAGAGCTGAGGGTTTCAGCCAGGAGCAGGCAAAGTGCATAGAATGAGACCCAAAGATATCACCTTAATTTCTGTCTGAATTGTCTTATATGAAACCTCTGGAAGGGCAAAATAAACATACCACGTCAATACTTCTGAAACTATCACCTGGAACATCTGAATTCCCATTTTGGCTCTGACATTGATTCCCTTTGTGCCCTTGGCAAGGCAATAAGCAGTACCAAGTTACACCACCTGGATTCATGCTGCATAGCTCCTTATTCTGCAAACAGTCCTATATCGATTCCAGCAGGAAAAGATATGAAATGACATATTACACTCCTGAGCAAGAAGGGTTGCAGCCTGCTTTAATATTTTCACTATAAAAGCAAGAGATTATAAGAATAATCTATACCCTTCCCGTTCCCAGTTGAGTTATGAGATTTAATGTTTCCCCAGTTCTTTGAAGATGTAAAGATTGACACTGAAATTAAGTATTTTTACAAGATCTTTATATGCCATAGAGGCAACATGATATCACAGATATTCTCCAAGATGTGCTATTACCTTATCTTAATGTGGTTTTTCTTAAACAAGGTGTAGATTATCTTGTCTCACTGAGTGTTGGAAGAGGAAACATGATGGGATTATTTTTGGTACTTCCCTATCTGATAGATCATAAACCAGCACGGCAGGCAGCCATTGTCTTTCTCCTTGTACTGGTCCCACCACTTTGGTACCTCTCATTCAAACAACCCTGCACGTGGTCACCACCTCTAGCTTTAACTGATGGTTACTTAAATGTACTAATATATCCAAGTCAATAAGAAAAAGACATTGGGGGGGGGGGGGGGGG